TCAGGTAGGTACCTGTGAGGTTAGTTTAGGATCAGGTAGGTACCTGTGAGGTTAGCCTTAGGGTTTGTGGTCAGGGTTAGGCTGTAGAAATGTAATGGAAGTCAATGGAATGTCCCCAAATGGATAGCTGGGCGAACCTGTGCATACGTGTGTGCGCTAGGGATGGCGTGATTTTTGATTCAATCGTCTATCGGTGATTGAAGGGTTGGAATGTGACTTTTTTTAAGGGCGATCTTTATTAATTAATTAAATGTCGTGCCAGGGATGTAAAATTAATTTTAAATGCGCCCTTCTCTGTAAATTAAAATGTTTTAATCATCCTCATTGTGATCTGTGCAAATAAGGGAATAAAATAATTAATGTACAGAGCTGTGTCTCTGTTTTTTTTTCTCTGAGTCAGAGCCAACATGTGCAGCTCCTCTTCACGTCTCTCTCCTCGTCATCTTCTTCAATCAAGTCCAGGATGACGGAAACCGGAATTGGTCACTTCTCATATATTATTGGCTCTGGACAGCCGATACTTGAAYCCAGTTGGTCAAATGAGGGTCAATCGAAAGAGGAGGGCCTAGACGGCCATTTTGATGCATTGCACATGAACAAACAAAAACGGCACGCGGGCGTTCCGCTGAATGTTTTATAATGTTTTATACCGTTCACATCTTTTATGCCAAATATTTTTGTGCATACATCTGTTATTTTTAGCTCGCTAAACCTGAATTTACCTGAGTGAACAATAAAACTTGTGTAATCATTCAGACTTCTTCAGTCATGACTTTGTGTTCTGTGGCAGCACGATTTAAAAACTGCAGCTTTAATTTGACAATCTTCGTTTCTCACTGACACCTTTGGTAAAAGCTCAGCATTACGCAGCAACTACACAGCAAGACAACACAAAAAGACCAGAATAAAAGGAGGAGTAACAGCTCGATGTCAGACAGGAGCAACATTAAACCCACAAACTGAAACCAACACAGGCACAGGTTTTTTATGATCCTCAAGACTGAGATGAAAACCAGGTTTTCTAAGCATTCGGGTCATTTTGACCTGCAGTTTTCTCTCTCTGTCACAAGTCTTGACTCTCTCTGCTGTTGCTGTTTTGCTTGCATTTTGTGTTAAGTTTGATTTCTCTCAGTTATATTAAAGTTAGTAAATCAAGCTGTTATCCTGATTCACCAGGTGCTTGCTGACAAGCCCCGCCCCCTGGCCTGCCTCCAGAATGGGGCTTAAGAAGCCACGTCTGGGCGAACGACACTGAGCTTGTTTAGTTAGTTTGTCTTAAACTTGTAAAATATAATCAATTTATTATTATTTTTTAAACTGTTAAAACACTATTTAATGCACAATAATTTGTAAATAACTGTCTGGTAATAAAAGTGTTTTAGAAAAACGGGCAAAWTATTTCTTCACATCTAATTTTATAGTTAAAAAAAAAGAAAATTAAGTCCAGGCAGAAATTTTCATACTTAGTGCTAGGCGGTACACCAGTTTGTACCGAATAACATTTTTAAAATTTTTGTTATATGAATTTTCTGAATACCAACATACCAGTTTAAACAGCCTGAACACGTGTGGGACGTTTCGTCGCGGCCACCAGTGAACTGTTTCCCGGGGGACACTTTTTCTCGCTGCACCGCTATGTGCATTAGCATGCTAATGTTATTGTTGCAGCGGCGGGTGGCGATTCCACTTCTTATATTGGCTGACGTTAAAAAAAACATCCTGTTTTTGCCATCGCTGAATGTAATAAACACCTCTTCAGTGACGTGAACAGTTAGATATAACACACGACTTTAATATGGAGACGTGGAGAGTTTATTGTGAAAAGCCAGGGGGAAAACGTTTTGTAGCGGAGTTCAGTTGACTGGTGTGCAAGGTGATTTGTGCTGTTAATCTTTAATAAATAACATAAAAATAGAACCGATAATAATCTTTTCTTAACTCTCCTCCTTCACGACCGGACCAAAATGCGTGACTACTGTTTCCAACCAGGAGGAGAAGAAAAGATGTTTAGAGGAGGGAAACAGAGACACAGGCAGAGGTACAGTAAAAGAGAAAAGTTAATAAGCAGGGTTTGTACATTTATTTTGAGCTGACCAGTGATGAAAAGAAAAATACCGTGATATACTATGAAACCGGTGTAAATGTTGAAAATGACGTGATATAAAATTTTGGTCATACCGCCCAGCTCTAAYGTGTTTTTATGTATGACGGAGGTTTTACAGACATGATCCAGTGTCCATGCAATGATTTCCACAACTGCATCCTGTCTGCAGTGCAGCTGGAGGGCCTGTGGATCTAGGTCATTCAGTGGTTTTAGGCTTCGTGGATACATTCTTTTATAGTTTTGTCACTGAAAATATCTGAACATGGAGGCAGAAATAGTGGTGATGTTTAGTGCTTAACTCAGAACAATTATCTGAAAGATATAAATGATTAGAGTTAATTTAAAAACATGGACTACATGCTGAAAGTTAAAAAAAGTCCGTTTCTAATGCATTAGATTAGTTTCACAATCAGCAGGTACAAAGCATCACTGACACTCATTGGGAATGTTTGAAAGCAGAGGAGAACAAAGAGCAAACCCACGGTCAGAGCTGAAGTCATCGATCAGGATGATTTCTTGAATAAGAGCTGCAGGACTTCGCATCAAAACACTAGAAGAGAAAAGCAAAGAGATCAGGTTTAAAACACACGCTTGTGTTCTGGGTGGATCCGGTTCTACCTCGTTACCTTTTGATGGTTCGGAGGAGAGTGGAGCGAGCCTCGTTGTGGAAAGTGATGATGATGCTGGTGGAGGGAAGGTCGGCGTCATAAGTCAGTGATGCACACCTACAGAGAGAAGAAGAGGAACATTTAGTGTTCAGTCGGTTACATCCAGTACATTTACCTAAAATCACAAAGTTTGATGCAGCAGCATCACACAGACTCAGGACCTGCTGCTTTTTGCTGCTCCAGGTCAGGTGACCTGAAGCTGACATTTTAGACATCGCTGGGTTTTAAACTTACTCAATATTTTTACAGAAACTAACATAAACAATTACTTTGTTTCTTGATGAACAGTGAAAATGTATCCACAGATGATGATGATGATGATGATGATGATGAAACAATCACAAGAGCTCAGTGTGCATTATGATATTCTGCTTTAATGTTACTGTTAATGCAACTCAGTTAAAAACATTCAATAAACATAAATATTACACTTAGTTATTTCACTTCAGTTATTATTTAGGCCAAAAATGTATACTATTAAATTATATTTTTTTATATATATTTTAATACAGAGATGCTTAAAGACAGTGTAAAGTAAAAATAAATGTGTTCTGAGGTTGTCACACCACAAAAATATGTGTTAAAAATCACCCAGCCAAGTTTGAACAATTAAAAATACTGTTAACCTTAAAAAACGATGTGTTAAAAGTAATGAAAAAATATCAGTTAGCTGTGGTCTGGAATGTTGGGGGCGGGTCCTCTGGAGGAGCTTAAACCACGCCCACCACCCTGAACATTCCTGTAACCGAGGAAACAATTTTTGTTTGTTTTTACCATTAGAGCAACAGGGGGCGGGGTTATAGTGAAGGCAGCTGCTGACATCACGAGGCTGTCCTTTAAGACACGCCCAAAAAATCCTGAAACACAGATACCTTGTTACACAAATTGAATCATATCTATTCAATAACTATTCAAATATCTACAGTTGAGCCTCGTTTCACTTTATGTTCAATAAATTGGGCCCCGAGGTCAGAAAGGTTAAGAACCCCTGATTTAACAGAAATCAATAGTTTTTTTTAATTCAGACTGTTCTTAAAAGCCTGTTAAACATTTCCATTTGTCTCACAGGTAAACCTGACATTTACCTGCTCTCTCTCTCTCTCTCCATGTCAGCACTTTTTCATCCTGAGCACAACGCCATGAGTTGAATAAAAATCTATATTTACTCAACGTTATGAGGCACTACCAACACTATTATTGGATGCAGCCTGAAAAACAATGTACAAAGTAAAACCTGTAGGTACAAAGTAAAACCTGTAGGTACAAAGTAAAACCTGTTAGGTACAAAGTAAAACCTGTTAGGTACAAAGTAAAACCTGTTAGGTACAAAGTAAAACCTGTTAGGTACAAAGT